TGATGTTACGACCTGTTATTAATTTTTAAAATATATATATATATATATATATATATATTTATATCGATTAAATCGAACGAATGTACGCAATTAATTAAAAACGAAGAGATAAAAGATTAATTTATACGATATTAGCTTTAGCGATCGAGTTGCCCATCATGACTTTATTGACGAAATTAACGATGGCCGTTGCTGGTTGTTCCGGTTCCAGTTCGGCGAATACGTGACACTGATTGTCTGATTTGTGAGCTGGTTTTCTTGCTACGAATCCGAAACAACGGCTAGAAAAAAATAATAATAATAAGAAGAAGATGATTGTATTCAATCGATGAAATAAATTTCTCAATATTTTTTTGGATAAAGAATGTAAAAAAAAAAAGAAGAAAAATTGACACTAACTGTGCGCTTAGTGGTCGTCCAGCATCTTCACCAGCGAAATCCCAAGTACGTTCTTCAGTATCTAGACCACAATAACTGATATTGTTCGTAGGATAATGCCTACGAAAGAATAATTTTCTTGCGTTGTCCGTCAAGGTTATACCTTGAGTCGAGACCTTGAAATGTACGATGGTTGCACTTGGTAATGGTTTTTGTTCGAATAATGTGCTTATAGCTTTCTTGATTGCTTGAGGTCCGGTCAAGGATTCCGTATCGACGGTGAAAAGATAAAGAACGTTGCATGCTGAAAAAATATATCAAATATTATTAATTATTATTCCTTTCTCTCTTCACACCTCCTACTCATGTTAAAAAATAATCAAAAAATAAAATATATGTATATGTAAAATATTTTAAATATTAAATTTATGTATATCAAAAAGAAAAACTTCACTTTTAGAGTTAAGAAAATTGTTGTTTATATTAAAATATTTAATTGATACTTAATTTTTGTTCTATTTGAAATAACTTTGGTTAATAATAATTCAAGTTTAACGACGACAAATGAATAATAAATTTGATGACAATTTATATATAATATATAATTGTATTCAAAATTTTGTGTGTGATGTACGATTAATATATTATAATAAATAAAAATAAAGTTGTTATATGAAAAAAATAGTTATTACTAACCAGCTCCTTGAGCAAGAAGTTGTTGAGCACTATTCGTAGCAGGTGAATCCAAAGCTCTAGCAGCAGCTTCTGGTTCAGGTAGCAAGAGTTGGCACGGTAAAGCCATAGCCATCAAGCTGTGTTGATAAACTAGCGCTGACAAAGAACTAAAAACTGGTTCGTTTGCGCATCCCTTTAATCTGACTCCACGTGACGTTGGCTCGATCAAGAAATGCCTGACGAGTTCGCTTGATGGATCTCTAGGACTACTAGGTGCACCAGGTGGTGGTGTTGCTACTTTCAATGCTAAACCAAACGCACCTGGGAAAGAATTGCTGTCTCTTACTACGAATGTACCGGGTGTTGCATCCTTCAGCATAGAGATTGCTAAAAAAGAAAAAGAACAATAATGAATATTAATAAATTGTGATAAAGTTGAATCGAATAAATGTATAAATGAATAAATGAAAAATATTTAAATGTATACCTTGTTCTCGTGATATATTAGGTTTGTACCAGATCCTGCTGGTATCTCGTACGAATTTAACATTAACATCAGCAACTTCTTGAGGTTCACTGTTCGAATGAATACTCGAACGTCTTGATCCGTAATACTGTACTTGCGGAGATGATTGACCACCACTGTTGATAGATGTGTAGGACGTAGCACTCTGAGAACGAACAGATGTATATTTTATATTAGTCCGACATGTGACAGTAATCATCGTACATCTATGGCAATGGCATCAGTAATAAACCACATGTGGGTTGTTTTCTTTTTTTTTTCTTTTCTCGTGTTTCATTTTTATATTATATTTACAACTTGGTTTTATCAAGCCAACCAATAAATATGATAAATGTCACGTCAGTAGTGTTTCCATATGAGTAGTTAGACATTTTTCAGGAAAACGTGAAAAATAAGGCTTTTAAATGTAATCATTTTAAAAAAATTAATGTAGTTGAGATAGATGGTACAACATATTTATCATGTTCTTTTTTTTTTTTAAAAAGATTATTACCTTCGAAAATCTTCTTTTTCTCGTTTTCCTAAAAAATTGCTGACTATTGATATATGGTCAGTTATTTGTTAATTTATCTTATTTGTTTTGTACTTTTCGTAATACGTTAATTGATGTATAACATAGTTACGTACATTACAATTCGATATGCACAAATAAATATATTATTAATTAATAAATTACCTTCGGACTTTGAGCAAATTCAACATGAGTAGGTGTTCCAGGGTTATGCGAAATAGCCTGAGCCTGTGAAATAGCAGATTCGCTTATCGGAGAAACAGGTCGGTCCTTGCTGAAATGAAAAAGCATTATTTTTATTTAGAAAATGAATACATCATGGTATTAAACTCTTCGATACATTCGTGCTCAAGCCAATGGTATATATATATATATATATGTGTGTGTATGTATATATCACATAACTCGTGCAGAAGGAACGATATTGCATCGTGATGAACGTTGAAAGTGTTTGTACATTATGTAGAACGATAAAGAGATTCGTAGAAGATCAACGACAGTGAGTAAGCAGATGGTATTAAAAGATGGATGAAGAGGAAATGTATATATCTCTATATGTATGTGTAAGTGTGCGAAAGAGAGTGCACATAACGAGAATAAGAAGAAGAAGAAGAAGAAGAAGAAGAAGTAGAAGAAGAATAAGAAGAAGAAGAAGAAAGTAATACACATATAAGATCGATGTTTGTGAGAATAAAAAGGATCAGAGAAACGATGTTTTGACTTTGTCCTTTTGCAATGTTTTCTAATTCACTATACACACGTTGCTGACTTGCATTAGAAGAGAATGCTGTGCTAAATCACGATGCAGAACATTTCGAGCTTACGTTAGTTTCGCGAAAAGTGCAATAACTCGTAAGAAACTTGTGTGCAATAATAAATTATATTAACACGGTGTTAAGTCATCGTACAGATCGTTCTTTTTTTGTGTGCATTGGATGGTATATATTTATATATTATGTATATGTATATGTATAATATATATTTCTCATGGAAGTTAAGTCACGATCGTGTTGTTTATTTTTCCTATAATTCATTAATATTCATTGCTCGTTGATATTAAATTATTATTATATATACCGAGTAAGATATTTAAAACAGAACATTTGGAATAACACGATTGTTATTAATGATAGAAACAAATGTTTCGGACGAGAATTATTTCGTTTCAATAATGTCATAATTCTTTGTTAATTGGTATCTTCTTTTTTCTATGTGGTGGACACGTAGATGACAAGAAATTCTTTTTTCTTTTTAAATATACAAGGATGTGTTTTAAATGTCTCACCCGTTACATAAACGTACTTTAATTCGCGATTGACCGTGCAGTAACAAATTTGTATATAAATATACATGTTAATAATATGTAACGCAGTTGAGATAGTTAGTAGTGTGCACTAACACATAATTGGTTTAGTAATATCACAGGAATAAAAAGAAATAATAAAAAGAAAAAGAAAAATAAAATGGAAGTGTATCTTGATGATCGGCACACAATCGACACACCAATAACGATTATATTGTTATTCATGGTATCCACTCTCGATGATTTCATTAATCAACGATCTTCAAACGTATCACATACTTTCGTAATATATATTACCTATAGTCGAACGACGCCGATTGGTTAGTGAGCGGCCATCGTTTGTTATGCATTTGTTTAAGCGGCCCGCTTGCCGGGAAACTCAAGCGTCTAGAATAACGAATATTATTTCTTCATCATCGTTGTTCTTATGGATGAGAGATAATAGATACATTTTAAAACGTTATCTTTTTAGTTTTTTTCTTTTTTTCAGAGATTATTTATTAACACGATTAATCAACGAAATCCTGGAATTAATGGCCGTCTGTTGTACGATATGGAAATGAAGCGGACATCTTGAATCTTTATAAAACAGGGAAGACACTATACACGATGATATAAATTTATATTAAATGAATATACATTTAATTTAATATCCGTTAGAGCTAGTAATATAGTAATATATCCTATTTGATTAAATTTGATCGATAGTTTTGCCACAGTTTAATAATTGAAGCAAAACAAATATATTTGATTTATTTTATAGGTTAGCTTATTATATCCTATAACGTTTAATCTATCCTACAATGTTTGAAATCAATATATATTATTATATTAAATAAAATAAAATATAAAATAAAACAAAAAGAGAAAAAGAAGAAGAATAATTTATAATATGCTTACCGCTGTGTTGTCGGACTCTTGGGTGGAAGTCCCGTTTCCTTAGAGACTTCCCTCCGCTCCTCAATGTAAACCGTTCTTTCGGCATTATAATTTCCTAAGTTGTTGTTGTTACCATTCCCACCGCCGGTAGCTTCGATTCCAGTCATATTATTATTATTGTTGTTAATGTTATAACTATTGTTGGACATAACATAGCCCCGATCGGAAGCAAATGTTACAGTTGGCGATGCGTTATTAACGTAAGGAGTACGTGGATGTACAGGGAATGCAGGTGTTTGCGGTCTTGAAACACCAACTGTACTTCCGGGACTGACGCTCCTCTCGGTCCACGATGATGCCGAGTCATTGTGGGACTAAACAAACAAAAAATATAAGAACGATCATCTTACCGCTCATGTCGTCTTCCCCTCTCTTTCTATGTCAAGAGAAGAAACAAAGAAAAATAATATATATATATATGTATATAGATTGAACTTGTTCAACGTTAAATACATGTTTGTGCTGTTAACATTCGAATAAATATACTTATATTATTTTGATTATATATGTTAAATATATATATATATAATATGTATGTATATATATATATATATATATATATATATATATATTTATAATCTAAGTTTTATATGCGGTACCAGGGTAAGCAATGCATTTTCCAAGTCGGCTTGGAGTTAGCAAACAAACAGACGCTAATGAGATTTCTAATCAAAAGTTGCATTACGTGAGTTGCATCTGATGGATGTCATCATGATTGGGAAAATAGATATATGGATAATTCTTATCATCGAAAGAAGGACAATCCAGCAGCACACCGTGTTTAAGTGTGTCCTGTGTCTGTGAATATATTCGTTCATTTCTAAGAGATGTAGTATTCCATTGTAGTAGTCCATCAAGCATATAACTCGCGTGTTACGAATGATAATGTATGTGCGTGTGCGTGTGCGTATGCGTGTGCGCGTGTGATGACAAACCTGTGTACAATTCTGCCATGCTTTTGGCGACTGGTTAGGGGAACAATTAGTGGCAATGCTAGCGACGTTGTTGGTGACCGTTGTCGCGGTAGTTGCATCTATAGTAGTGCCATGATCGTGGTTCTCGATCTTGTTAGTCGCGGAAGTGGATGAGGGTGAGCGATTGGGTGATATCTCAGCCAATGATCGAATTAGGCTCACGAGAGGATCTCCTTGAGTGGGAGGTGAAGATGTTTGTTGATCTACTACTGCTAAAAGTCCTCCTTCGTTTTGTTGTCCGTTGCCATTGCTTCTATCGTTGGTTGTTGCATTGTTATAATTTCTTGAATAATTTTGATACGTTGTTGTTGTTGTTGTTATGCGATTTCTTGACTCTGGTCTGGATGGTCTAGCCAAAGTAGCAAAATTTTTCTCAAGAGTTGTTCGTTTGCTTAATTCGTGACCATTTTCCGTATTCATCCCGTTGTTCTGCTGTTGTTGTTGCTGTAGGTATTGTTGTTGTTGTTGTTGTTGTTGTCTATGTTCGCGCAAAAATGCATCGGCACGTGCAAAACTATCGCTTCTAGATTCCGGACGAGGTGGCTGTTGTTTATCCAAGTTGACCGGACTACTCGATCGACGTTGCATTCCTGTGCTTAAGGGTGGATCGGCTGCAAATACTGCGCGGGGGGATGACGGAGGGCTCTGGAAAGCAAGCCAAGCGCTTCATGCTAGGAAACTAGTGTTCTATCATTATTATCCCGTTCTATCGCACACATTTGCATTTTGCTTAGATAAAGTAAATAATTATCTTTTATTATTATATATTATGATATTGTGTAATGAGACTATTATTATTATTATTATTATTATTATGAATATTATTATTCGTAATGAATTATTTGTACGTGTAAGTATACAATATCGGAGGTAGAGTGCAACAGAAATAAGGGGAGGCTTTTTATCTAAAGCGGATTTCTTAATCGCAGCCTAGCTAGCTGTAATATTGTATTCATCGCGATGTAAATTGATCTCTCATTAAAATTTCTAATTCAAAATCTAAGCTAAAAAAGCATTATTAATAAAATAGAAAAATTGGCTTTTTGTTCAAACGAACCGTTTTGTATGTATAAATGTATCTATAAATATCTAAACGGTGCATTCCTCTTACTCTATATCATATAAATTTCATCTAAAGTGCAATCTATATCGTGCCGACGTACATATATATTATGTTGTCTCAACTATCGTAATTTACGGAATTACATTATTTCGTTAACGTGCACGATGGAATATTTAATCGATCGAATAATGATATATTATAAATAAAATAAAATAAAAAGTAAAAAAGAAAAAAGAAATTTGGGATAAACGATTACGAGAGAACGTGCAGGATGAATTTAACACCGATCAAAATATGATATATTTAAATATTTAAAAAATGAAAAATAAAAAATACAAAACCAAACGATAAACAATAAATATAAAAAAAAATATAAAAAATATATGAAAGGGTAGCAAATGATCGAAGCAAATTCTCACCTGACCGTCGCTGTACTTTCGATACTCGTAAGCTCTCTTCACAGAGACGAATGGTCGTTCGTTCATGCTTTCGGCCCTTGGTCTGCCGAGAAGGGCGTTACTAGCGCTGCTGCTGCCATTGTACTTACGACTACTCGATCTTTGCGGAAGCAAAGGACTCGCTGGTGCTGAGGTATAAGGAGTCGTTTTCGATTGGGTCTGGTTTATAAAGAAAATCAAAAATAGCAAAATAAACGAAACTATTTTAATCTAACTATAATTCTAATATACTATGGAATGGCATTAATATAAATTTAGTTTAACGAAACTCGTATATATATGAGCCGTTTATTTTGAAAGTGGCATAAGTCACTTTATTTTTTTTTTTTTTTTTTTAATTGAAAATGAAAAGATACCATTCAGTTGTAATTAGTGTTGTCATTAACTCGGTTTTTTTGAAAAAGTGACTTATGTCACTTTCAAAATAAACGGCTCATATATATATATAACAAGAACTTACTTGATTCATAATGGAACTTGGTATCCAAGTATCGTCGTCATCGTCGAGTACTGCAGAATCACTCGCATAACCGTCCTGTCTTAATCTTCCCCTTTGATAACTTCGAAGTTCTCCGATAACACGATTCCCAGTTTCCTGTCGCCATATTGTTTTAGGACTTTTTTCGTCCCTCCTCGCAGCAAGTTTCAATTGTTGTTGCCTCAGCCATGATAATCTATCGTTAAGATAAAATCAAAATTATGTTTTTTTTTTTCATTCTACTTTTTTTTTTTTAAACAGTTATACTACGTTAATAATTTTGAAAATGTTTTGTTGTTAGTTGGTTTATTACAATTAAATAGGGTTTGGCTTGAAAGAAAATCTTTTATCGCGTTTACTTCCATATTTGTTCTTGAAATTGAGTAGCACAATGAACAATGAGATAGACCGATGATCATATCGGAAGTAACGGTGAATAGAGAGAATGTAGAGAAGGTAATCAGTGTAAGTCACGTTACAGTTCGATGCATCCGATAACTATGTTTCAAAGATGCATACATTTTTAGTATAGATTTTTTTTTTTCTATTTATTTTTATCACAAAGAACTAACGGTTACCCATTGTCAAATGTATCGTATCTTTAAGCGGGTAGAAGTAAAATTACTTTTCTTTTTCTTTCTTTTCAACGAACAAGACAAATACGCTAATTTATTTTTTAATTATATAACTATTGTCCTTTTTTCTTTTTTTTCTTTTTTTTTTTTTCTATCGTAAGTTATAATATAATTTTTTGAACCGGGATTATCATATTATCAACTTTTTTTTTTCGAGCAATAAAAACGACTTGAAATATTTCATCATCTGATATGAAAAAGTTCTGAAGGAGTCAAAACGAAAAAGAAAAGAAAAGAAAAAACAAAAATACATTATTGACAAGAATTATCAAAGTTTTAGAAGAAATATTTTCCCAACGTTTCGTCACTGCAAAATTAATCATTTTTGACCGTTCGTCAGTGTTACCATTCATGTATATGTATGAAAGAAAATTTAATTACAATATATATATATATATAAGAAAGTGAAAAGAAATGCAAAGTAATTTATCGTAAGAGGTAAAAGTTTTATCCATATATAAAGGAAGAAAAATATAAAAGAGAATGGAAACTTTATTGGAGCAGAAAGAATGACGGAAGTTCGCGTGCTTTAGAAGAATATTATAAGAGACTTCGTGAACGCAGCCGGGGCGCTGCTTTTGTGTACACCTCTATTTTCTGTTTAAACGATTTCCGTATCCGAGTATCGTACCTTTTTTGGTTTACATAGTTATGAAAGAGAAGAAAAGTTTAAAAAATAAGATATACGTATGGGTGTCTATGTACTACTACCATTGGAATGGGATCTATAACGGGAACTGACTGGAAACTAGTCGAAAGAAAAAGTTAAAATATGTTGAAAGATGATGGTACGAGAAAGAGAGAAAGAGAGAGAGAAAGAGCAAGAACAAGGCTTGAAGATTTTACTACTTCTCGCTCGATTTAAAACGTCTCGCCTGTACTATATTTACAATTATATAAGACACAGAGGAGAAACTTAAAATAGTATATCTCTTTGTATTATCGTTATTCCGTATCGGTAACGAATTCCTTGACTAACTGAAACACACACTACCGTGGAAATGTTTCTTCATCTCAATTAAATTTGAAACATTTCATTTCTCTTTGCCAAAATATTCTCTACAAATAATTATTATTATCATCAATCCTCGATCTTGAATCGAAAGATCAACGTTTTGTTAACGATCAATTACATTACAAAACAAGAAAAACGTAAATTTTGTCAATTCATTCTTTTTTTAATTGCACAATTATAACAAAATTGAAGAAATAAAATCGAAACTTTGTATCATCGCTAAATATGATTATTATCATTACAATTCCTCATCGATAAGAACATTTTTCTAGACTTTTAAACTCTATTAGAAATATTTCGTTCGAAGTAAGTTCAAATTAAAAAAAAATTAAAAAAAAATAAGAAAACGCGTATAACAAAAAGTCTATTGTTTCGTTTAATGAAATCGTAACGAGAACGAAATGATATAAAGTAATTTCGTGGACGGGAATACGAAACGGGATTAACATTGAACGTCGACAGTACAGAATAACGAGGACGCAAAACTTGAATAAGGTTCGTCGAGTATACACGAGAAAATAAGTTCTTTTAGTTGCTTCGAAAGTAGACCTGCCAAACGTCTGTCGGTCTTCTCTACCATAAACGTCGTAACCGTTTCTCTCCACCGACGCACCAGTCAAACCCGCTCTTTGTAAATACCCAGGACACGATCGAGTGAAGACTATAACAACATAAGAGGAGACTTTCGCGGTGGCTTTTCTCATGACTTGCTTACGAATAAAGTTAACCGAGTGAACAAGCAGCCACGAAAAGATTGAAGAAAGCAAACTTGACGTATACGTATATGTCCCCTCCTCCCCCTCCTCCCCCCGCCCATCATCCATCCACCTTCATGAAAGGAAACCACCAACGCACCAAAAGACGAGAAGAGAAAAGAGAAGCCGTTTATTTTCACGGTTTTGCGTTTAACACGCGCCTTGTATAAAATAGGATCCCCTTCCTACCCCCTCCTCCTACCATTTTCCATACTCAATGGTTTACCTAACGATCCTTCTTTTCCTGTCTCTCGATTTTCCTCGAACTATGAATTTTAACACGATCGTAACATTCGCCTACGTTTTTTCTGTAAAAAAAAAAAATACTTAGTTTCTCTAAGCATTATAATAAATTAATCATGTTTATTAGTTGTGTGTGTCAAAGACTTTTAGATATTATATGATACGTTAATAGCTATATGGGATATATTTAACTCGAAATATATTTTACACGTGGGTAGAATATAAAAAAGGATATTATTATATATATCCTTATATAATATTTATTATATATATCTCACATTATATATATATATATATTTATTCTTTTATATATAGATATTAATTAAGGATTAATTAATTCCGGGATTTAATTTTAACGAAGGAGAGCATATTTCTTCGAAAAATTCGTAATCGTTTCGAATAATATTAATTTTAATATTTTTTACGTCACAGATATAATATAATATATAATCAAATTTGCGAGTACGTTTTTCTTTCTTTGGTTTACCAGTAAAAAATCTTCTAGCTAACAATAAAAAAAAAGTAAATGAATAATAACAATAATCAACCGGAGTCATCGTTGTTTTATAAGATTTATCGATGAAAAGAAAAAGAAGAAGAAAAAAAAAAAGAGATAAAAAAGGAGGTTCGCTTATTTCGTTTTTTATTCCGTAAGTGTTTGTAGCATTTCAAAATAAAAAAAAAAAAAAAAAACGCGTTTAGTTTTTTTTTCCTATCTCGGAGCCGTGCATTTTACAAACGGCAATGACTCAAAACGACCGCATTTACCATTCCTGGTAGAAATACGAGGAGAAGTGCCGTAACCATGGGGTCTACGAGTATGGGTAGACAATTTATTAATTGTGTCTCGCCGAGTACTCACGGAACCTTTCTCCTTGCTTCTCTCTACCACTCTCTTATTTCTCTTTCTCCCTCTCTCTCTCTTTCTCTATTTCTTTCTCCTACAATTCCCCTCCGCCTCTTCCTCATTCGCGGGATCTTTTGCGGTGCCCGTTTCGGAGGATGTATTGCGACACGCACGTTGTCGACCCGTTGTCTCAGAGAAACTACCTTCCCAACTGATGTTAGATTCGCTAACTTTTTCTTTCTTTTCTATTTCTTTCTTTCTTTTTTTTTTTCATCAAGCTTTTTCCACGAAACAAATCAAGCCTAATCTCCGATGTATTTCGTTAAAAGCTAAAAGGACCACCTCCGAGTGATATATATATTGTATATTATTTTATTTATTATTTTATTTATTTATACTATTTCCCTTTTCGGATTTGGAGAGCTTCCGATACAAATTTTCTTTTTACAAAAATTCAACAACAGCTCTTGTATATTCTATCCTAATATATTTTAACTATATGTATATATCGTACGAAGTTATGTGAAAAATAAATGGAAGATAGATATGAGAGAATGATAAAGAGAGAGAGAGTATAAATAAATAATAAATGGAAACCTATATTTTCGAAGTATAGAATTTTAAAAATCATTTTATTCTTACCCGTCCACGTGATCCTGAGTCGTCGTAGTCGTAGTTGTCGTAGTTGTTTTGACAGGACCATTGGCAAATTCTGGTGGTGGGTCAGGTGTGTTTGGGCTTAACGGGCTGATGGGTCGTCTCGAATTAACGTCACCAAGTATGTCGTCGAAATCTACCATAGGTGCTGTACCACGTACAGATGCTTTTCTAACGAGCGATGGGGATGACAATTTTTGATGTTTTATCATATCGGTTGTTGCACCGTAAGAAAATGGTTGGCTCGTTTGTCTAGCGTGATAAGGAATGTCTTCGTCGATGAAATCTATGTTGCCAGATGGGGAAAATGATTCGACGTGTTGTTTTCTATTATAAATGTCTATAGAAGATTCGGATAATTTTCTATCGGGTGATACACGATACTCGTAATCATCCCGACGATGTTCATTAGTTTTTATCGGACTATCTCTATATTCATTTTTGAGGGTGCTATAACTGCTGCTAGAGTTGTATGGTGGACTTGATTCTTTGGCGGCGCTGTAACTTCTATAGGAATCCTTCAAAGTCGAATAAGTAGATGCACCCCCGTGACTACTGTTCGTGTTACTACTGTAACTTCGATTTTCTTGTACGTAAATCTTATCGTTTCTATCCGTTCGTGAATAATCCTCCTGGATCGGAGGATCTGGCATGGACTAAAAAATTCATCAACGTGAATATACCGGATGATATCTTAAATATCGTATTACAAATCGTATACAATATTCCAAAGATACATGTATAGATATATATATATGTATATATGTAAACTTACCTCAACGGTTAGCATCATATCGTGAAGAAGTTTATCAAGATCACCGTGAGCCTGATTATCCGGCTCGTGTTCAGGTGGACTTGGTCTTTGAGGTGGTGCACTGCTGATACCGCTGTCCATGGAAACTGTCAGTGGTGAACCGCGAGCACCACCTGCAGCACCCTGGTGTACCACCGCGTACAAGGATCCATCTATAGGTCCGCAGGTGTAACCTAACCCACGTGGTGATGTTTGAACGGAAGAACTCGATGGTGGTGGTGGTGACAACGGTGTCTCCCGGCCTTCTGGAAAATAGTCGTATTTGTATCTTCAAGAATCATTTATTTTTTATATATTATATAACAAAATATATATAATATTAAACTATGCATGAACACAGATTCACTTTATAAAATTGAATTATTGTTATCTTAATATCGAAATTATGAATGAAATGTAAAATGATTCCATGGTGAAATATTAACAAACTGTCATTTGATATATTATAATGCATATATTTAATAATTATTTATTCTATTATAATAATATATAATAATATATATTATAGATCTATCTCGAATAATATTATTGCTCGTATAGTTTATATACAGTGATAATACGTTTTTGAATTGTTAATAGTTTAGAATGATATAACGAAAAGTTAAGAAATATAAGAACGATCAATTGGTTTCTAGGAGATCGTGATGCTCGTTAAAATAGAATGATTGTGCATAAATCGTTGACCGATGTACATATGCACTTAAATAAATATTTACTTTCTAGCGATCGAGAATATATAAAATAAAGAAACTTATTTAGAGAGAAGAGAAACGGGGAATTATTTTCTTCGACAGTGTATCGTGTCTTTTATTTTATTAACAGTTAGACCAATTTAAGAGTTAATCTGCGTATTATGTCACCATGAAGTAATTCAGGCGCATTCTTGTGACGTAATTATTGTGGTAAGTTATTTTCTCTCTCGGCACGCTTTTCAATAGAAAAAGAATAAGATGATGATAAAGAAGAAGAAAAGAAAAATGATACCTAGCTAAAAGAATTTCCATCCAAAACGGGGATTTCGCGAAGAAATAGACGATCCTTGTCAACGACGAAGAAAATCCTTTCTTTAAAGTAAATTCTATCTTTTTATTTATGTTTCCCTTTCTATTTATTTAAAGTTCGCTTGATCCTCAGCTTTCCATGGGTCCATTTGTTTTCTCTAAGCTATCGTATATTACCCTTTACTTGACATTAGATTCTCGTTGATTCTATGAGAAGATTCTTATCGTACCGACCGGTCACACGTCGCACGAGTTTTCAACAAGACAGTTTACTTTCTTTATTCTAACCCTTTGAATTCCATTCGAGGTTCATTTGATCCTAGGTTTATCCATACTTTAAGAGATTTTCTTTTTGTATACGCTAAAATTATTCGCGACGAGAGAAACACATTTATTTATTACTTTTTTTATTACAAATATAAAAGAATATATATATATATATATATGTTATATAATTCATGAAATTTATAATTTGTAATAAATTATTATATTACGTGTAATATGATTATATTGAAATTATTCTTCTTTTGTTTATATATGTATAAATATTTATTCCACATTGAATTTTGTCTGTATTCCAATTTCATCGTCATATAAGTACTATAATAATCTTTCAACAATTGATTCATTGATATTTTATTAATCGACGTAATATAAGAAATTATGTTATCGCGTGAAAATGGAGAATAAGAGAGAAAAGAAAGAAAAAAGAATACATACAAGGAAGAAAAAGAAGAAAAAATAATTATTCGATCGAGTAGGTGGTGGTATTCGAGTCACGAGTTCTTACAAGACATTAAGATAATTATGGTCATTTTCACTGACGAATGTCAGAAAGGATTAACGCGTGTACATCGTTCGTTTGGTAAAAAGATGTAACACGCGTTCTCGAATTATCTCCAACCGCAAGTTTCTTCTTCCTCCATGATGAAGGAAGATGGGGGAAAAAAAATCATACGTACTTCTATACACACATATATATATATATATATATAGGTACATACGTAGGGAACGTTTTATTCGAGAGGCTGGTATCATCGTTGTTGGATCACGTTTTAATTTTCATATTTTCAACGTGGTCTGTAATTAGAGTGGCACCACGACTTCGGCTCGTATTTCTCTCACGTTGAAAGAGAACCGGCTTGTTAGATACGCGATGCAATATCCAAAACGGTATGCAAGAATAAAAGGAGCAAATGAATCTAACAAAAAGTAATATAAATAAAAAGACGAAGAAAGGAGCAAAGAACAAGAGAGAAAGAGTGAGAGAAAACGAGGTATGTGTGTGCGTTTGTGCGAGAGAGAGAGAGAGAGAGAGAGAGAGAGAAAGAAATATATTATCAGAAAGAGGCAAGTTATAGTGAGTAAAGTGCTAGGCAAGTACTGTAGTTCTCATCGACTTGGTAAAATGGTTTTTAAAATGTGTAAACCATAAGTATATTGAAATTCTTGTAATAGTAGTAGCAGTAGTAGTGGTAGTAGTAGTAGTAATAGTAGTAGTAGTAGACGTTTGCTAAACCATTAGCGAACGCAGAATGTTGAAAAGAAATTCAGTCTGAGAATAAGTTCCTCTTTTTCTTTTTTTTTTCCTTTTGCCTTTTAGTAAAATTTCTTACGAAAGAGAGAGAGAGAGAAGAATCGTTTAAAAAAAACAAAAAAAAGAAAAGAAAAAAAAACCATCTACGAAAAGATCCCCCGTATTATATTATAATATTTTCAGCTTTACGATTTTGTTCGTTTATCTTTCTTTCTTTCCTTTCTTTTGGAAATATTTTTAAATACCTTATTGAATCTTTCCCCCCCCCTTCCCCCACCCCGAGATTATACTATTCGAAATAAATGTCTATTGGTAATAAATGAAAAAATAATTCTGAATTATTATTATTATGTTTTCATTTATTATCCTCATTGTCTACACCTCGTCAGGAAAAGTATAAAAAACAAAAATTTGCATTTCTTTCTTTTTCGATGTCGATTGAATGCAAGATAAGAAGTACCATTTACTATACACCTATAAACACACAGACACACGCACATGTATATATATATATATATACTTGGTCACAATATTCATTTACATATACGAACGAATTTGAATAACAAATTCAATCAGCCCGTTGAGCTGCTTCATTTGCAAGCACCCGTTTCTCTTCTCATAATTTCAATTAATCGCCCTACTCGAATTTTTTCTCCTTTTAAGGTATCTCCCCGTTTTTCCCTGGGCCCCCCCCCCCTTTGCCACTCCCCTCTTCGTATGTCAACCAGACAATTTTTAACATATCAATCTCGTGCTTTTTAACGATATTGTATCGTAAATTTGGTAAAACGTAAGTGCCCGTTCTTTTTTCTTCTTCTTCTTCTTCTTACTTTGTATTTTTTTTTTCATTTTTGCATATAATCTCAACGAAGGATCGAGAACCCCCAAGTATATTCATAAATATCTTTCGTAATTTGTATTATTATAATATATTAATCATTTTTTAATTACAACTACTTACTTCGGTATTATTTTACGGTCGGCAGGATTTGTTTCTTTTATTTTTGTTTTTTGAGAAGAACAACAGAATTGATGGTTCAATTTAACTTACGAAAGTTTGTTTTGTGGTTAAAATGACTTAACACAACAGGTAAGACAAATCATTGATCGTTCGGAATCCAATCGTTACAACAGAATCGTCGGAATTCGTGTTTAGGATAGAATTGAATGTGGCTCGAATATCATATAATATTGGTGTAGAAGTTATCGAGTAGTCAAAGTAGTTATCAGAAAAGAGAATGAAAGAGAGAAAGAGAGAGAGATCATAAATTGTTTGAAAATTCACGTTGAAGTTCTTCCCGTTATTCATAAGTAAAGCGTCGTTCTTTACACGTGTTGTCTTTCTCTTTTTCAAAGTTATTGGATTCTTTAAATTGTTTCGAAGTTATATTAGTCGATGAATTATCCAAAATTTATGAAAAGTAAAGACGACGTTTAATAATAGAAAAAGTTGAAATCGTATAAATACAACGAGTGCACGTGTGTGTGAATGAGTGTGCATGCGTGTTCGTTGTATAGTTAAAAGACCAAACGTTGTTATAAGTGACTAACGATTAAAAGTAAAAATAGTTTTTTAGGATGTAAAAGAAGAAGAACTCGTTAAAAATTGTTTTAAGTAGAAAATTGGTTAGTTATAAAATGAAGGAAATCATTGCGAATATATGACGGTCTGTTACTTTCTCATACTTTATTTGTTTTTCTTTATATTTTATTTCTTCCTTTATTTCGAAGACCACCCAGTGATTTTTTTCGAAGAACCCAAAGGATATTTGCCCTAAAGGGAAGCTCGAGAATAAATTTTTTTCGAGGAAATATAACGAGACGAATTCTCATCGGCACCGTTCGAAGAACGGATAGTTTTGCCTCGAGGTATTACGTGACTTTAAACCAAGTATAATATACACGATATAAGTATGATAATAATTGTGAATATGCGTCGTAAGTTGCCACCATTTCATTGAATTTGCCTTAGGGTTAAAGATACCTTTAAGAAAAATGCTTGACCATAGAAAAAAAGACGATTAATTCGAAATATTAAAAAGGTCGATATGAATTATGTTATTTACGATATTTCGATATTGTGACATTGAAATTTGTCAAAAAATAACACTTGTATAAATCGTACAAAGCTATACATATATAAAATAAAAAATAATTGTGAATGCGTCATAAGTTGTCATTATTTAATTAAATTTATTTCCGAACAGGTATTATATTATAATATAAAATGCTTGATCATATGAAAAAAAAAAAAAAAGAGAGACTTAATTAAAATATGAAAGAGAGAGAGAGAGGATTTTAATTATATTATTTTATCTTTTAATATTTCAAAATCAGATGAATTAGAATGAATTGGATATTTAAATATTGTAAATGAAATTCAAATGGGATTTAATCAAAAGTATGATATAAAGGGGGAGTTGAATTATGTTATATTCTCTTTAACTCTCGATCGAATTAGACGAATTCGATATTTGAACGTTGAAAATGAAATTCGATGAAATCTAAAACTGATCTTAGGGAGATAAAGTTACACAGTAATAATTCTCAAAAGGATAACAGATAAATACTGTATTGCATATATAGCATGACAGATCTTCGAAGTATAATTCTGCTGGTATATTTAACACGTGCACGTTGCAGCTGCGATTATAATGCCATAACTGCAGATCGTACATAGATGCATGCATGCATACATGCATACATT